GGACGCTGGCAGAGGCGTACCCCTCCAAACCGGACAGCCCCGGCGAGGACGCCCCTGCAGAGGACATGGCCAGATACTACTCGGCGCTGAGGCACTACATCAACCTCATCACCAGGCAGAGGTAGGCAGAGCGGCCCGGCCAGCACTCCCCTTTCCCGCTCCCCGGGCTGCCTTTTTCCTTGGCGAGGCTCAGGGGAGAAAGTGGGGTGCCCCCTCGCACCTGGGTGTCTCGCCCCGCTTCCCCCACCGCCAAGGAGAGAAAGACGTGGTGCACAGACTCCCTTTAGAGCACCCCTGGCTCACCTCTGGGTGCGGAGCTGAATTTCCACCGTCCAAGCTGGCAGAAGGGGCAGGGGTGTCGATACAGCCTGTGCTCTCTCAGCCCTTTCCAGCCCTGGCACAAACGGGCTGGCGGGCAGGAGCCTGAACCGCAGGGCAGCGTGCACGGGGAGAGCCCCCCAAGAGGGAGAGAAAACAAAACTAACCTGGGAGCTGGAGAGAGTTAGGTAGGGCAGTAGGAGCGGTTTCCCACTTCTGTTGCTGCCACCGACTCTAGTGAAAGACTTTGATGAGAACAAGTGCCCCTCTAGCCTTGCTGAGCAGCTGTAGTAGTCCAGGCACTTTGTGGTTTGCCAGCTACTTCATGCAGCTGTGAGTGCCAAAAACCCCACTAGTCCTGACAAGAACTCTCTCAAGACCACAAGCAAGAACCCAAGCCCAAGCTGAAAAAGAGTGTGACCTGAACCTGGTTTCTGGGGATGACTTTGCTTGTTAAAGTAGGGATAAAGGCTCAGTCTGAAAAAGTGCAAATTATTAGAAAAAATAATTTTCTTTGAGACCATCTGTCCAGTTTAGACTCTGTGGTTAATAGAAGTTTCCCCCAAGGTCCCTGAACAGTGTGTGACCCAGAAGAGCTTTGACATATTTATCTGTTTGTTTAATATTAAAACCAGATGGGAGGTCTAAAATTAGGCTTTCATTTGTCCCTCTAGAAGTCTGAAGAATTAAATTAGAAGGGAGGCTATCGTGTAACTGAGAGCTTTCCCAGCAAACCCGTAACATTGCCTGCCAGTGCACTAATAGCATAACACAGATGAAGAGGCTGATAGAGATACAGTTCTTCTGTCCTGGACTTTTAAAGTAATATTCACAAGTTGTTCATGCGTATGGCGTGCTTCTGTGTGATAGTCTGTGCTCGGATAACTTTTTGTCTAGATGACTGCAAAAATAATCTGATCCTCGAGTTCTGCCCCTGCTGCCCTTTTCCCTTGTGTGTGGTGGGATCTGCAGGCTAGTCTCTCATCTCTTTTTTTGCCTCTTTCATCTCTGATTTCAAAGGTGGTTCCTGTCCAAACCCAATTCATATTTAAAAACTAACAAGCAAAAGCCCCTGAACCAACTAAATGAAAACTCCTTCTGTATTCAACCTCCACTTGCTTTAATGTTGACTGTGTAGCTTTTTTTCCTCATTTCTGGGGTGCAACTACACAGCTTGGAGACTGAGACTTCTTTCATTCTTCTGTGTGGATATGGGTTCTGCAATGAACCAAAATAGTTATTGTTGCTGATGGATGAAACAATGCAGAATTTAAATTTTGTTCTTCAGGTTTCACCTAGATTTCCCACCCACTCCCTCATATTCAAAGGGAACAAAAAGAAGAAGTACAAGAAAGCTGGCAGAAAAAAAGCACCACAATGGCAACTTCATGACACACATTTTAAAGTTGGCTACATAGGTTAACAAAAAAAAAAAAAAGTGGTGTGCTGTTTCCACTGTGTGGTGGATTAACAGTGCAGAAATAAAGTAATTGCCGCCTCCTTTTGTGCCTGACCTCTCACCAGATCCGGTGCCTGCAGCCTGGTCACTGTGCAACTGGTGAGATGGAGCAGTAAGAGCATGCTGGAAGAGGATGAGATTGATGCTTTTTTCTCTTCAGGTTCATCTATCTAAGCTTGTTTGATGTTTTTGTGATTATGAATAACCTTCTGGCTCATCCTCCTGGCTTCTGCTTCTGACCTAACCAAAGCATTTGAGTGTCATTCCCCTCTGAGCTACTGTGACCCACAGGGTCTTCACCCCAGCTCCTACAAAGCTTCTTCCTTCCAGACTAATAGAATCTTTCTCTTCTTGTTCTTAGCCCTTGTCTCTGTGGGTGCTTTGCTCCCTCTCTTCTTTGAGATCCTTCTCCTTCAGATCCATCTCATTTAGATTTGGACATCTGTGCCCATCAGCTTTATGCCCCTCTGAGGTTAGCTGTGGGAAACAGGTACTTGTAGGGTGCAAGTCGCCAGGCCTGTTTCAGACTTCTCATTTTGGGTGAGATCCTGTGTTCCTTAGCTGTCAGGTCTTTATGACTACAAAGAGAGCCTAAGGTGACCAACACAGACGCAGACTCCCACCCTGCAGATGTCTCTGTGTCTTTGGATTAGTCCCACCTCAGTCCTCAAAACCATCCTGTTGTCCTTGCCTCATAACCTCTACTGCACTCTTCAGGGGACTCTTTTCAGAGCCCATCTTCCCTTGAATCACTCCTCCTTCTGCTACTTGGTACTACCCATACTCCCTCTTGCCAACAGGCCCTCTTCCTTTTGTCTCTTGCAGCTTGCTCTTGCACCTGTGGCTCTTCTGTGCTGTAGCAAAACAGTAAGGCCCTTCCTGCTGGAAACGGCTTCAATCATAGGCAGAGCAGAGAATATGAAAGTGTGTCTGACTTAGGCAGTACTGGTGCTCCCACTTCAAATCAACACCCTTTCATGTGGAAGGGAGCAGATCTTAAGGGCTTGGGTTTTTTGGTCAGTTTTCTGAATCAAGCCCACAAGATGCTTCTGAGATCCCTCAGCTCCCATTGCCAGCTGTGGACATTAATGGGATTTGACTCCCAAGACCCAAGTTTTCATGGTAAGCTTCGAGATTTCGCTGAGTCTGAGATACTATGTCCCTAATCAGAATAAGCACATTTACTCTTTGATCCCTTTGACTTCAGCTGGAGTTGTGGGTTATCAGCATGCCTGAAAAAAGACCTTGACGTCTCAGGCTGAGCATAAAACCTGGCTAGGTATTTTCATAAAACTTGGAGCCTCATTCTTTTAAAACAGCTGTGATATGTGATAAAAGTCTTTCCCAAACAGAAAATAAAGGCCTGGCTTTCTGTGTTCATGTTGTCTCAGAGCTGGGCAGGGTAGACAAGGAGCAAAGCATGAAGCAGCTGGAACAAAGATCTCTCAAGGCATTTCCTTCAGTAAGAAGAGACTGACTTCGTCCATGGTCCTTTTTTATTGTAGCTGTAGCATGGATGTTTCCCAGTGGCAAAATTATGGGACAGAGAGGAGGCTTAGGCATCTGACATGGGAAGAGCAGCTGCTCCTTGGCCAGCCCAGTTGGTCACAGTTGGCAATGGCCTCATGTGCAGCTTTGCTACGTGAGGACATGGTGAGTCCATCCAGCACAGGTAGCAGCATTGGTCTAGCCGAGGCGCTGAAGGGACTCCTATAAAAGGTATCTCCCCAACACAATCATCTTCATGATTTTTCCGAATCTTTGCACTCTAGAGGGTTGCTACCCATATCTTATTCAGACAAAACTTGCCAAGATATTAGTGGGAGTTTTGCCCAAGTGTAAGCTGTTGGAGGAAGCCGTTGATTTGTTAAATCGATTTCTTTAGAACAACGGCAAATTAGATATCCACTCAGCTGAAGTCCGGGCCACATACATATTAATTGGAATAGGGAACTAGAAAGAAAGCAAGCCCTTTGTGGTGATGGAGTGCAAGGTATTTGATTCAGCATCATGCTTGATTGTGTTATTGTAATAGCATTTTACTATATCTGGCTGGTTCTCTTCAGATACCTGCTTTCAGTCAGTTTAGATTAAGAAATCTACTTTAAAACTCTGAAACTGATGCTTTGTCTTTCTGCAGCACAGGTGATGTACTAAAATGATTAAGGCAATGTAGAAATACAAAAAGTTGAATAAAATGATTGAAAAGTAAGATATTTTTCCACTCTTCAGTAAGTCATGCCATCAACAGGTAAAACTGCTAGCTTTTGAAATATAGTTTGGGAAGGTTTTTTTGGTTTTTTTTCCCCCAAAATTTAGATCAAGTCACTGGAGAAACATCTTGATAGCCATGGATAAAATCTAAGTCCTTAATTACACCTTTGATTTGTCTGGAATCAGAATTTCACTCAAGCAGCATTCACCAAGCTGTTATCTGTTAATGTACTTTGTGATTCAGTCTAATTGCATACACAAGTTACAAACCATGATCTTAATTCTTTCCAACCAAGGGAGAGTTTGCTTATAGTTATCACTCTTAGACTAACGAATCCTTATAGTGAAGAAGCATCTGTCAAGCTGGCTGCTCATTGTCGCTTCTGTTTTATCAGGAAAAGAGAGCAAATTCCTTCCCAAGAACCAGGAATTGCAGTACTTTTAACTGCTAAACAGTGTGTAGTATCCAAGATTTAAAAAAAAAAAAGCAATAGAAAGACAGTTGCTGTGTAAGTATAGGACAAAGACAGCTGGTGGTATCCCATCCCATAATCAAAGAAGATCTCTGATTCAGAAAGTTTTCTCTCCCATGACTATGTAGTTCAAAAGAGATGATTACCTTGGGGTAGCTCAGTTTTTACAATCTAATGTGCTATGTGTTGGGCAGCCCCAAATGTACGAGCTATCTTAAAAAATCTTGGCTAGCTCCTTGGATAATATGGCATATCTGAGTTAGTTTTCTATCCACTTAATAGATAAAATTGACTCCTCACTTACAATACTGCAGCATCTAAAACAATGAGAAAGTTAATGGAACCGGGTTTGTAGGCAGGAATGACTTGCTCAGAGGTCACGTCAGCACAGCTTCCTCCCCCTTCCTCTATGCTCACATCAGTAAGGTGCGAGGCCTTAGAGTATCCAAGAACAGCCGTCGAACTGAGAAATATTCAGAGTTTCTCAATACTATCATGTAACATGATCATGGAAAAAATATATCTGAAGAAATACTGAAGAGAGAACATTTTCTCACACGGCTAAGACAAGTTAAAACAGTGGCTGGAAAGTTGTCTTTATATCTGCTGTATTCTGTTTTTCTGAAAAGATTTGTTTAATGGTTCCATACTTAGTCTTAATTTTTAAAGAACTGACATATACAAAAATATATTTTTCTTCTCTTTCTTTAGATATGGAAAGAGATCAAGCCCAGAGACATTGATCTCAGACCTCTTGTTGAGGGAAAGCACAGAAAATATTCCTAGATCCAGGTATGTATGAAGAAGTTTTGTGGTGGCTTTTGCTCCTCATTTAGATTTAACAGTTTCATTTGTTATCAATAAATATGTTTCACGGGGAGAAAACACATGTCACCAACAGCTGGGTAAACATGCTCTGAAAAAACATTTTAATTCTTTTATTCTTTAATTCTCTAGTAGCTTTTGTTAAGAGGTAACAGCATCTATGAATGCAAGAAATGCCTTACCAGATATAATATAGTCCAAAGTCGTAATTTCCTGATTTTGGGAGCAGGCCATACCTGCTGTGTGGAGGAAGGGAAGCGTTCCCACAACGCTTGTCTCTCACAGGGCTTTATTACACAGAATTGTATCCCGATGCTTGATGACAGACTAGAGCCCCGATAAATGCCATATTTCAACTCATTTGCTTCTCAAACAGATTTAAATTTTTCCTCTAAATTTGTATGAGTGGTAAACGTGCACATACATTAACTTATACGCAAATGCATGGCTATGACTGGTCTTTAAAATGCAGTATTTCACACTGGTTTTGTACCTAATATTTTACAAAGGGAAAAAGGCCTTTGTATTTCCATTTGCACTTGGTTTAAAATAACAGTGGTGTTTCAAGCAACAGTGGAGTTTCAAATGTACATACTGTATTTATCTAATTAGGTAATGACACTGTAGCTATAACGTAAGACACTGTAGTAGTGACTACAATTTACACAGCTAAAGGTAAGTTGAAAAATACAATACAGGGCTTTGCCTCATGAAAGAAAATACCAGTTTTAGTTTTGCTTACAATCAAGCATGAATGAACTCAGTTTAAGCCTTTACTGATAGCCTGAAGTTTGCTGATAATACTTCTACAGCAGAAATGAATGTTTTATGCAGCAGTCATCTCGGGAGTCTACAAGAAAATGCTCTGCGTTTTCATCAGCTGTGCAAAGACTCAATTAGATTAGTTAAGCACTTAAGCATAATAGTCTGTAGCACTGAACTTAGGGGCATGATCTTGTCACTGAAAAGTGACCAGAATTTCTACTGCCATCAAGGGAGGTTGTCCATGAGACTTGCGGTTCTGCGCATAGGGAGACCATTGACTTATGGTTTGATGACTAACCGCAGCTGTGGGGATGCAGTTTTCTCTGCAGATGCTTATGTAAAAAACTGCGTGGAGTGCAGTGAAACGAATTAGACTATTTTGTGTTTGGTAATGACAAGGCAGAGCCCTCACATAATGGGAAATTTCCGCTGCCATGAATTTGAGGCAACACACAGGGTAGTACAAAGTCTAATACTCTCTGTAATTTTCACCCCTTCATAACAAAACTTTATGGTTATTACTATTGTTTCAATAATGCTATTTATAACACACCAGGGAGCAAAAACTCATGAGCAAAATAACAAACTAGTCTGCATTTAAGATCAAGAATTGATGAGAAACAGATTTTTATTTCATACCCCCTGCAACAACACTTTAAACTGAGTATGGTGTTTGTCATTCATCGATGACAATTATGGGAATACTGGGAACAATGATGTCTAGTTTCCTATGGATATGTTTTCTAGGATAAACCCCTGTATGGATTCTGAACCCCACTCCAGTTTTTTCCTCCATGTGAGGACATAATTAAATCTTCTTTCTACCCAGCCCTGTGTTTCATGGCACATCAGGAACTTAATATCTCTGAGATATCTGTACCTCTCTCTGACTTGGTTGAAATTGTCCAGAGGGTTTGAAAGCTGGTGGGGAAGTTTGGGGAGGCACACAGGGGTGGACAGCTAGACAGACAGCAGATGTGCCCAGGTACAGCACAGCTGCCTAAGCCTTCCTCCTGGAGGAAGCCAGGCTGAACGAATAAAAGGCAGGCTGGTATTATTCTGAACATCAATTAATGAAGTATATGTTTTAGAAATAGTTATATATGCAGCCAGTTACAGAGCAGATGCAGCTTGCACTCAGTGAACCAGTGAGAGAGAGACACAATTCATGAGTTCTCGGGAACAAACTTTGTAAGTAAACATTGAGGTATTAATAAAAAACTTAACTGTATTCAGCCTGGCTGGCCTGGTTTGACATTTCACTTTTGCTGACTAATATATGGCCCAAAGTATTTTGCAGCCTAGGTGTATGTCTGACTGTATAAAGAAAGTTTAGAGAGGTTCTTATAGAAACCAGTTAAAATATAGGATGTTAAGGAATAAAAAAATGGAGGCACCTTGACCTAAGTATAAATAAGTTCTTATGACACAAACATGTGATGTGGCATGTTTCTGATCTTGTCGAGCCTGTGGAGTCATGAGAGAACCTTTAAAACTCAATAACAGGATCTGTCTCCCCTACTACTTCTTCTTTAAAAGTTAGATGTCTAGTGCGAAGTAGTTGTCTAGGCTGCCCTTGCAGTCAATCGGAGGGACAGGTATCTCCAAAATGAGCTGTCCGTCTGAAAATGGGCAGGATCAATTGCCCTCTCAAGATGTCAGTGTCTCCCCAATGACTGTGAAAGAAGACTAGATGTCCAACTTTTAGATGGCAAAAATTACAGCAAATGCACTTCCTCTAGTCTCTCTCCATGTTCTGCACTTGTTGACTTACTTGCTGTCTAGACAGATCAGCTATTTGCAAGCAGAGGTCCTCTAGATCAAATCCTGCCCTCAGCACCCCTTTCAACACGTATTTGAAATGTTTGGTATTGAGCAGTGTAATACCACAATAATATCTTAGGGTGGTGGCTGTGAACTTCAGTTTCGTTCGAAGGTGCTAACAGCATGACATGTGGGTTTCTTCTTGGGTTTTTCTTGCCCCAGTGGATTCTTGTTGGAAACTGCCTTCTCCTGAGTAAGTGCGGAAAATACCTCTATTTGTATTTCAACATATCATAGTTTTCTAGCTGAATTTCATTAAGTCCTTCTTAATGGCATAAAGCAGCTTTGCCATCTGGGCAGCAGCATGGAGGGGCAGGTTCTGGTACCAATGTGTAGACATTTGGCCAACCAGGATGCCTCTGCTTTGGTGGGAGTTGCATATACAATCTTGAACTGCAAATATGCATATGTATTCCTTATTGCTGCTATTATTAAAATGAAAATTTTAGATAGTCCTAACTCGGGGTTTTTCAGAAGGGGCTTTTAAATATGTTTAATGTTTTTTTTTTTTTTAATTCATAATATGTATTGCAGGTTTGAAGACCCTTCGATGTGGTGATGGGATTTTCAGCGCACTGTCAAAACTTTTCCTAGTTTTCAGTACATACTCCACGCCCCTGAAGCAAATCAGAGCATCATTCCCAGTGCATGCAGCCATTGTACTGAATTCTGTAGAGTTTTTCCTTCATCATATTTGTATATACCTCTATTTAAATAAATTATTTGTGCATTCCAAAATATAACATACTAAATGAAAACAAGCAACCCTGTCATTGGTATAGCAAAGAGTTGTTTTAAACTATTAAAACTGAATTATAACCTCCCTGCAGTCTAAAGTAGTATGGACAACAATAGTGTCACAGTTATTACAGTAATTAGTGTGCAAAGTAAGATAAAGGCATCATTTATTGTCGCCTCAAACTCAGCTCAGCTGCTTGATTTATCCAAAACTGTTTAAAATAATTTATTGCAGACTATATAATTTAGGAAAATAGTGTTCTGGGAGGAGATTTTTCAGAATCACCATACTAGAAACTTAATTTAGTACTTACATTGACAAATGTATTAAAATGAACAACATTTTCAAAATACAAAGGAATAAGTCACTGCTTAATTCTGCTAACTCCTCAAAACTGGTTTGAAGCTTGGCTGTAAGCCTAGATTAGGAATTTTAAATGAAACAGATGTAACATCTTTGTTTTGGCAATATGGAAAGCAGCAGAAAACAATATCTAAAGTAATTAATAAACCAGGACAAATCTACAGCTATTTGTGCCAGAAAAGAGATGTTTAACATTGCCTAAGGGCTTGGAAAGGACCACACTGAGAAATCACAACCCTTTGGTACCTGCACTCTGAGCCTCTCTCATTTGGAGTCATTCATGGTTTCTGTTTCCACCACGAGAAGGTAGCTGGAACGGGGACAAGGGGAACTGTCCTTAGGTTTTAATTTTCTTTTTTTTTTTTTTTATTTTATTAATTTCATCACTAGCCTAATGAGGGACTTAGACACAAGCACCTCCAAAGAAACCCTCGAAGTCTTCTATTCAAAGTAATATGATATAATGGCAGCATGTTACCCTTGTTCTTAAGTGTTTTAGTTCACAGATACGCATCTTGAAGTATGGTCAGGGCCCACACTGGGCATGACACAAACGCTGGTCCTTGGTTCCTGATATTTAGGCACAATGTCTTTTACTTACACGCTGTGACTAAACACTGGGTAATAAAGCATGTAAAAAGTTCCAAATAGGAAAAGAATCAGCGTGAAGGTTGAATGTATTTACACCTCATTCCCATTTTTTGAACGTTTCCGTACGGCTGTTGCCCCCATGAGAGATGCGTAGGTGCAAGTAAGTTCCAGATTTCTATAAACGCACACTGTTACCAGGTTCCCAGGATGTGCAAGCTTTTGTGGTCACACTTTCCTCAGTAAAGCATAACTTATTTTTCCTTTTCATTTTCTTTTTGGCTTATAAGAAAGATGGGGACAGACTTTTTAGGAGGGCCTGTTGCAACAGGACAAGGGGTAACGGTTGTAAAATAAAAGAGGGTAGATTTAAATCGGATACAAGGAAGACATTTTTCATGAGGGTGGTGAGACACTGGCACAGGTTGCCCAGAGAGGTGGGAGATGCCCCATCCCTGGAAACATTCCAGGTCAGGTTGGACGGGGCTCTGAGCAACCTGGTCTAGTTGAAGATGTCCCTGCTCACTGCAGGGGGGTTGCACTAGATGACCTTTAAAGATCCCTTCCAACCCAAAGATTCTATGGTTCTGTGATTCATAAAATGCTTGGGTGTCACTGGAATGGGCAAATTTTGCTTTTAGCAGCAACTACTTCACTTAGAGGCTTGATGATGGGTCCCACAGTGCTACACATGGAATTGTGAGGATTAAGAGCAGTCTAGTATTACAAAAATATTTGGGGTCCCTGGTATTATGTTCAGAGGGACTCCAGGATGGCCACAGCTTGCTGGGGCTAGCATCAACCACAGGCCAGGACCTGCTGGGTTAGAGTCCACATAAAGTTCTGCTTTGAATAATTATTAAAACGAAGATTGGAAATTAGTGAGGTATCTGCTATATAATATTTCTAATTTCCAGTAATTCCTAGTATCAATACACATGTAAATGACCATGTAAATGTTAAAATCAGTAGATGATAAACTAAACTCAGGTCGCTTAGCACTATCATTACAAATGTGCTTTAGTGGAGAAAGAAAGAGTTAAAGGAGAATTAGTGCGTGCTAATTGCTCATGCTGAGCTGTTCCACTAAATTACCTGAGTTTTCCTGAACTTCAAGAACACCTATCTGTATAGAAAAGCTAGACAAATCTAAAAAATGCGAGGTTTATTACCTTGTGAGCTGTCAAAGACAGAGCAAGGCAAAGCACTCACACTATTTATCTATCCACCCTGTGCTATGATTCTCTTTCTAAAATCTTTCTGTGTCCTCTGTGGCAGACACAACATTGCCATAGAAGTCCGGTGTACTTAGCGCTTACCTTCCTTGTGTCCTTTATATATCGCTCTTGACAGGGCCAGGACATTGAAAATATTGGATCAGCTACTCCAAATCGCAGGATAGACTTAAAAAATGAGCTGTGAAATGGAGATAAACGCTAGATTTGTTTGGCACGGCTTCTGCATTTTGACTTTAGGGTTAACCTTTTCATCTTTTTCTCTCTAGCCATGAGAAACAGAGCCTTGTTTCTAAAACAAAGGCTGAAACTTATGTCAGAATCTGAGGAAGCACCAGGAAAAAGAAGGAGTGAGAACCATAAAAGTAGGCAATAGTATTTTCTCCTTTATTCATTTTGTTTTTGAAATCATGAGGAATGTACATAGATAGGTGTAAAACATTTAAAAGACAGTCCACCTTTACCTTTGGCAATTTCTGTAACATACATCTCAGTTATGCCCAACTTTGATTTAACCACAGAGAGGATCTTAGACAATCCCATGTATCTTCTCTTCTAGGAGAGGAACGGCTGTCTATCCTTTTCTGTCTCCATCCCTAGAAACCCAGCCCATTGCAATGCGTTCAGCTCTTCTGTGCCAAAAGGCACGAATTCCCCAGTCCTCCTCTATGTGCATTTCCCTTCTCCCTAGCCATGGAGTGAAATGTTGTCCCTGTGACTGGTGTTGGACTAAATTGGGATAGCATGGATGCTCCCTGACCTCCTGCCAGCAGCTGCTCTCCCCCTTCCCTGGTGAAGGGGAAGGAGCTGCCTGTTGAGCTGAATTTCCATCACTTGTCATCTGAGAGGTGGAAAACCTGCTCTGGTGGCGTGAAGAGGGCATGTACAGCCTTCTGCAGGCAGGGTAGCTTTGCTCTGCCAGACCATCCCAAACATGGGGGATCACGACTGATTAGGGAGGAGAAGACACTCCCTCTGCAGCCTCACCATCACCTGCTGAAAGATACGGGGAAGCAGGGAGGTGCTGGTGGCATAGAGCTGAGGAGGACACGGGCAGAGGGAATTTGGGGGATGGTGGGCTGTGCTGCTGACATGATGGTGGCAGCCAAGGTAGGAGTGGCCTTGGACAGGTGGCCCGGCCCCAAAACAGACTTGGATGTAGCAGCACCAGTCGCCCCATGCAGGGAGCTGCTCTATGGTACAGGGATGAGGAGGGTTGCAGGGAACCCACTGCAGAACCCCAGTGCTCCCTCATGGTGCCCCAGGATGGGCAGCACTGCCAAAAAACATTGCATTGCATTGCGGTGAGGTGGGATTTACCTGGTAGCTGGCAAATAAATACCAAGTTTCAGCTGCAGCATCAAATGTTTTCCATAGTGGTTTGCACCACCTTCCCATGCTCTGCTGGCCCCTCACCCTCAGGGTGAGGTGCCCAGCAGCACTCAGCGCATGTGGGAGGGGGATTTTAAAGCCGAACTGACCATTGCTCTGTGTTTCCTCTGGGATCGCACCTGCTCTCACATGGCCAACATGACCTTCAGGAGTGCCAATGTAAATCCAACGCAGGATCTTTCTTCCCATTCCCACCCTTTGCGTTATCACCTGATGACCATCAGCCACTAAAAGTCAACAAACATTTTAAAACAAAATTCAGCAGAAGATAGGCCAGAATTTATTGTGACAGAGTCTCTATTTGTCTTGTGATATTTTCCTGTGAAAAGCCAGGGTCAGAAGATGAGAAACAGCAGAACACCAGGAATGAGCATCCGTGGCTTTGTAATGCGAAAGTCAAGAGGAGAACACGCCTCCTTTACATTTCCAAACCAAACTATTATAAGATGTCAATGCTTTATAGCACCCCCTCCCTTTTTCCCAAAAAGCTTTGGGTTAAAAAACCACAGTCAAAAAACCTAGTAAGAATAAATTCCTTTCAGAAAGGCTTTCATTTTTCAAGTGTTAGGAAAAATCTTATTAAGAAATATTTCCTAGAACATCTTTTCTTTCATTAATTTGTATTTGCTCTTGAAATCAAAAGCATTACAGGTTTTGATTACTTTCAAGGTTCAGTTCAGAATATTCTTCTCTAAATGGTAGCTGAGAGGAAAAGATGCCATCATCTTTCTTCCCATTCTGCACAACTCATCTGTTTCACAAACTTAGAATAACTGTTGAGAGTATTCTAGTGATATTCATCAAGGTATTTAAGTGAATGTTTTCTAAAATTAAATCAAAAACTTACTTTACAGTTACTTTTTTTGGGGGGGGAGAGTCCAAATCTGTCTTGAGATCTGCACAGCGCATGTCTAGGAATAAGAAAAGGTAAAGCTTCTCCTGGCACTGCCCCCATTTGCAGATACACAGCTCTGAGAAGCACCTTTCAGGGGTGTGAAAGTTTAGCCCTTAAAGGAGATATGATTTGGCAAAAACCCAAGAAGTTTGTATCAATCCCCATGCTGCCTTCTAAACTAGATGGATCTCAAAAGCTAATCAAAGCTATGGCAGCTATACAGTAGCTGGGGGATGTCTTGTGTGTGAACCAAACAGGTGGACTCAGACCAAAGAAAAAGAGTTTCCATATGGACTTCAGTGAAGTCAGAAAACTAAATGCAAAATCTATCACTTAGGGACAGCTTA